ATTTAGATGTATAATTGGATGGATTTTATTCAAATTTCAATTCTAAGCATAATTGTTATATTATATGGTGGAATAATGCTCAGTATATTCAATTATTAAATCAAATTTAAATTTTCAGTAATAAGGATGAACAACAATCAAAAATTTTAAATTCTTCATCTTTTTAGATAAGTATTCTTTTTATATTTTTTGATATTTACTTAAAACTCACAGATAATATAATTAGGATTATTACTTTTAAAAAGCATCTTTTAGATTAAATCAATTTATCACTATCGTGATATTTATCGCAAATCAAATTTTATAGTATAGATGGTAGTGGAGATATCAATATTCATTTTTATGTTTAGTTCACTTTTATATATTTAAGAATTTGATTCATTTTTTTATGAAGAGAAAAAAATTTTATTAGGTTGGATTTAGATGGCCATATTATCTCTAGGGATTATTATACAATTAATTATAATTTTATAAAGATTATTTAGATAACTTAGATCTAAATGTTAAAGACCAATATAGACTCAAAATTAAGTAATTAATTGATTTTAAGATCTAATTATATAATTTATATTTTTTTTGAGAATATATTAGAATATTGTAATATGTCTAAATCTATATTCTTTTCTGATGGTGTGTATTTCTAAAATGTTAATTTAAAAAATATTAGTAACTTTTATTTATAATGTTATTTTTATTCTTTCCTAAAATTAGTCTTGCCATCTAAAGGAGATTGTATCTTATATAAAATGTATTATTCCTAACAAATGTTCTTATTTTAATTTTAAATCCTCATAAATGAAAAGACGAACTTTGGATATAAAACTAAGAATCAAGAGAAAAATAACAAATTTATCCAAATAACTTTTTAACTTGGATGTTAACTTTCTCTTAATTAAATACTAATTAAAGAAATATACTATGACATAAAAATTTGAACTCTATATTAGTAGTTTCAAGTATTCTAGATTATCATTTCAAGGCATAAGAAAAAAAATAGGTTATCTTAATGACTAAAAATATTATATTAAAACATATATTTATTTAATCATTATTACGTTTAAAACAATTTGCTTAACTTAATTATCAATAAATATTTAAAATTAGTGTGAATGCTCTTAATAAATTCAAAACTAATGTAAGGATAATGAATCTTGCTAATGGAATGAGAACTAATCAATATGTGAAGCTTAAAACTGCCAATATTTTACTACTTAAGCTTCTTGTCTAAAGAATTTCTTTGAATGTTTATAGAATGGTACTGACTGCATACAATTTGCTATTGGTTCTAATTTAACATCTTAAGCTTTATAGTGTTCTTAACAAAGTATTCAATGTGTCTGAAATTTTAATAACTCAACCAACTATGTTTCATTAGATGATTAACTTTAATGCTCTTCTTCAAAAGAGAATCAATGTATAGATGAATAAGTTGGTTATCAGGAAGGTTTTTATTTATGGAATAATTCTTGTTATATGGCAACATAATGTACTTGGTTAAATTTCCAAACAAATTTATGCCAATAGACGAAAAATAGTTGTATCTTGTAATAATAAGAATGTATATAATTGATATTAAAAAATAGATTATATAATTAGAATGCGATGACTTTTAAAATGAAGTAGATTGTACTTATGTATTAGTTAGTTTAAATACTAAAATAATAATGCCGTGCAAATATTTAAATGGAGTTTGTCAGTCAATTTCAAATGTGGAAGATATAAATGCTGAAAATTATACATAAATAACTTTAGGGATTTAAAATGTTAATAATACTGGAATATGTTTTCCATGTATTTATAAAGTAGAAGCTATTTATATATTAGCAATAAATGTCAACCAAGCAGTAAATGTTAATGTTCTAGTTTATTTCTGTATTATTTCATTAATCAAATTATTGGTATTAGATAAATGGTGAATATAATCAATTAAGTTGTAATTAGATATCTGATTAGCTCTCTTGTGCAATGTATCTGTAGTTCTTTAAATAGTCCAATATATTCCGATTCCTTTTCATTAAAATTGTTGGGCTGAAGAAAATTATGTATTAAATAATAATTAATGCGAAAATTTTTTCAAATATGAGCAAATAACTTACTAAGGTCAATGTTATAAATAGTAAATGGATAAATGTTAGTAATTATTTTGTATTCAAATTTAATATGAATAGTAGAGTATAGAAATTATTAACTTAAAATTACTAAAAATTTTCATTTTCAAATTTATATAGAAAACATTTTAAATTTAATATTTTATACATGAGTATTGTTAAAATATGTAATCCTAATAGTTTAAATTTTCAATAATGTTGATAAAATACTGTAGATACTTATAAATGGACAGGATCAAGTTGTGTTTCATGAAATGAAATTGGTTATTATCTTTAACTCTCAAATTAATGTCAATGAATACATTTGTTTATAAAAATCTTCTTTTGTTTGGTCCAATTCTTATTGTTTACCTATATAATTTTCAAGCATTACTAAATAACTACAATGTGTTTCTAATCCTTATTGTACTTGGCTTGAAGGTCAATGCTAAGAATTTACATATTGTTAAGAATGATGGAACTAGTTGTCTGAAAAGCAAATTATTAAAATCTTGCTTGTAGTGCTCTACAAGCTGGTGATGAATAAGATTGTGTTTTTTAATCTAATAGATGTCCTATCTTCCTTCTCCATAATGTGAATCATATTCTTTTTTAAAACTTCAAGTATGTAAGGATTTTAATTAAGCATAATGCAAATATATATTTGTATCCACCATATTATATTTGCTCATGGAATAGTTGAGTAGAAAAATATGAATATTAATCTTATTGTAATCAACTTGGTAATCCAATTTTATGCAAAAGTAATCCTTTTTGTTATTATCTAAATGAATGTAAACCTAAAACTTGTTAACAATTTATAACAATAGAATCATTGTAAATTCAAAATTAATCAAAATAATTGGAATTATATATAATCATGTTCATGGCTTAATGGAGCTTGTATATCTGCAGATAATTTATTTACTGAATAAAATTGCTACATTAATTCTGATTATACTGCCAAATAGAGTACTAATGGAGATGGTTTTTATATTACTTTTAATTTTATATAATCAGAAGTAATTACTCAAAAAAATCAATGCTTATGTTCTTAGTTATTTACTCAATATGAATGTAGTTTATTTTCCTGTTTTTGTAAAATGGTATTTTATTGATAATAATTATGATTGTGATTCGTCAAATTGGATTGATTGAATATAAAATTCCCTATGTTATTGGATGTATTCTAAAAGCAATCCTAAAATTGGTGGTTATAGTCAAAATATTCCTTTTATAAATATGTAAGAATTTTGCACTAGACTAAAAGGAAATAATTCCTTAGAATGTCTTTCTTAAACAGTCTATGTTCAGTTTCTTTAAATGAAATTTGTCAAGATAGACGATATCTTTAAATTTGTTAAAGTATGAACTCTCTACAATTATGTGCTAATAGTATTAGATAAGAGGGATATTGTACTTATTAAAACTAATCTTGTTAAGTATTATCTAATTGTACTCAATTAAAAAGTATATTTGAATGTTTTTTATTTGATAAAGCATGCTAATAGAATACAAGCTATCAAAATGAGATTATTAGCTTTGATAGCTTGTTTTAATATATATATGAAAAGTGTACCTTCTAATCAATTACATGAAAGAACCAAATACTATGAACTAAGTGTCCATTCCAAAACAGAACTTCTAAATTACAGAAACTGAAAATTCGATTAAAGTAATAACCAATATTTAAATAAATAAACCTTAAGAAAATTAAAGTATTTATTCTTTATATGTAATATCTGTAAGAATTTACTAATTTCCATATTTTTTTGAATCAGATGAGTAAAGTATGTGAGTAAAGCTCGAAAATCTATCAAAAATATGATTCTTTCCAGAATTAAGTATTCGAAATAATTTAGTTTTATTTTAAAATCACAATATGATTTAGACATATCTCTCCATATAGATTCTATTAAATCTTTGAGCACTACAAATAAATAAAGAGACATTAAAAATGAATCAAAAGTGTGGCTTTACAAAATTGTTACTTAATCATTAATTTGTTGATAGTAGAAGCAGATTATCTAAATTTATAAAGATGAAGATATTTAGATGCAATTTCATAGATAATTCTTTGGTATCATTATTGATCTAATCTTAAACAATCTAGAATTGAGATTTAACATTGATGAATACATATCAAATGATTATTATATTCTTTTAAGTATCTGAATGTTTTTAAGCCAAATACTTTCTTTGGAATTAAGAAAAAGAAGTTGATTATTACATCCTAAAAATATAATTAAATATATGATAAATGTTAAAGTTTTAACTTTAGAAATTTAGTGTCTTAAATATTTAAAAAAGATCCTATGAAAATATTTAGAATATCAATTAAACATTTGTAAAAATCATTAAAAAGCACTAGGATCAAATAATAATTAGTGTATAATGATTGAATAGATTTGATTTATTTTCATAATTGATATCTTGATATATATTCATTTAATCAATGGCTAAAAATACTTTAACTTTGAGTATTTGAAGCACATTTCTTTTTAGAATCGATTATCTATATATTATTGAAGAAGCATAAATTGGATTCTATTCTTACTTAAATTAGTTTAATGGTAGTTATCATATTTCTATGTAGTATTTTGCACTATATTACGTTAATAAATTACTTGAAAATGGTTCGCTTTTTAGTATAGTGACTAAACATTATCGAAAATTTATAGTGAAATCTAGTTAATAAATTTATGATTAATGAGGAAATCAACTAATTTTAAATATCTAATCAAAATTTCTAATTAAAAAGGAGCCAAGAAAAATGCAGCTTTAATAATATATTATCAAATTTCTAGAATTTAAGTTATTCTTGGTATTCAATTTTATAGTGAAGTCATTAAAAAGGAAAAAAATAAAAAAAGATCAATTAGAATAAGGTTGTGATTATTTATAAAGAATTATTTAATTGTTAAATCAATTGATTTGTCTTCATTTTGTCAAGCCTTTAATAAAGCAATCATTAATATATATGTATTAAATTACAAATACATTCTGTCATTATTAGTTTTTTCATTACTTTGTTGAAATTTGCCAATTTATTTGAGAGATCAAAACAAATTTTCTGTCAATAACCTAATATTATGACTTCTTATATAATCAAAGGGAGTATCTAAGATTGTAAATATTCCATCATGATAAATATCAGTTCTTTTGAAATTTAATTAAAGGATATAGTTTTAATATTGAATATAAGGTAGGAAGGCAATTTGAAAAGAAAATATGACAATATGAAAATTAAATCACTTTTAACAATTAGGTAATTAAATTCAAAATATTCTAATATATTATTTAATACAACAATTTAAATTCTAATTCTTAATTAATTTTAATATTCCTTAAGTTTTTTTCAATCACCTCAACCTAAAAATTTGACAAATCGTGAAGAATAATAAATTAATAATATATTGATATTTAAATTTTTATTCTTAATCATTATATTTCTATTTTTAATAAAACTTATTCAAATGGATTGTTATATTAAATAACTTAGGAGGCAGTCAGTGAAACAGAAGTCTTAGCTATTTTAATATATTGCTCTGAAATTTAGTTTAATTAAAACTTTGCTTATAATCTTACTATTTTAATTTTATTGACATCACACTTGATAGTAGGAGAAGAACACCATTCATCAGTACAAAATATTGTTACATTTAAAACTTCCTTATCTAAGCATTTCCAGTAAAATATAATCTTTATAGAACCAATTTCTTTTGCTATTGTAATTTATTCTTGTAAAATTTAATTTTAAGAGTAATTTATTTCCTAAATTTCAATATGAGTATCTATTTAATCTTATGGATCAAAAAATCTAGATTATATCAAACCTTTAAATATAGCAAGTTCAAAATAAGGATCATTAATACAAAAATGATTATGTTATATTGACAAGATAATAGTTGGACCCCCTACAATATTGATAATTTATTACATGGATAAATCCCAACAGTAATTTCTGATTAATATGTCACTTTTGTTTCATATCTAATATTTAAATCAGATCCATCATGTTAAAATCCCAAAAGATTTAAATAACAATTTCTTATACCCCATCCAGATGGAAAATTGACAACTTAACTTGATCCATCAGGTTTTATGCTTGTTATAGTTGGGCCAATCAAAAAAATATCAGATCTACTCAATAATATTTGATATCCAATTTGTTTAAGGTTTTCTATATAAAAACTTATAGTTACAGTCTCAGATGTTAATATTAATCCCTAAATTATATATATTGTATACTGTTAAATTATTAAATTAAGGACCTAGAGCGTAATAGCTTACAAAATTAGAGATTGCCACATTAATTTTACAATCCTTTTAGTAAGTATGAATGTATGAAGATTTTGGATTTGTTATATTCAAATTATTTATAACTTAGACCCTTTCATCATTAAATGCAAACCAGTTAAATTCAACTCGATAAAATCTTTCTGGACTCTCACAAACTATTTTGACTTTAAATCCTATAAAATAAATTAAGATATCACCGACAGTGCTGACACTAACTATATTTAATGAATATCCTTAAGGAAATGTATATTCCAGATCAAGTCTAGCAATATTTAAGTACACATCTGGGACTTAAGTGAATTCCTAATGAAAAGGAATAAAATAGTCTTCCTCTCTAAATGGGGTTTGACTCANAAAACTTCCTTATCTAAGCATTTCCAGTAAAATATAATCTTTATAGAACCAATTTCTTTTGCTATTGTAATTTATTCTTGTAAAATTTAATTTTAAGAGTAGTTTATTTCCTAAATTTCAATATGAGTATCTATTTAATCTTATGGATCAAAAAATCTAGATTATATCAAACCTTTAAATATAGCCAGTTCAAAATAAGGATCATTAATACAAAAATGATTATGTTATATTGATAAGATAATAGTTGGACCCCCTACAATAATGATGATTGATTACATGGATAAATCCCAACAGTAATTTCTGATTGATATGTCACTTTTGTTTCATATCTAATATTTAAATCAGATCCATCATGTTAAAATCCCAAAAGATTTAAATAACAATTTCTTATACCCCATCCAGATGGAAAATTGACAACTTAACTTGATCCATCAGGTTTTATGCTTGTTATAGTTGGGCCAATCAAAAAAATATCAGATCTACTCAATAATATTTGATATCCAATTTGTTTAAGGTTTTCTATATAAAAACTTATAGTTACAGTCTCAGATGTTAATATTAATCCCTAAATTATATATATTGTATACTGTTAAATTATTAAATTAAGAACCTAGAGCGTAATAGCTTACAAAATTGGAGATTGCCACATTAATTTTACAATCCTTTTAGTAAGTATGAATGTATGAAGATTTTGGATTTGTTATATTCAAATTATTTATAACTTAGACCCTTTCATCATTAAATGCAAACCAGTTAAATTCAACTCGATAAAATCTTTCTGGACTCTCACAAACTATTTTGACTTTAAATCCTATAAAATAAATTAAGATATCACCGACAGTGCTGACACTAACTATATTTAATGAATATCCTTAAGGAAATGTATATTCCAGATCAAGTCTAGCAATATTTAAGTACACATCTGGGACTTAAGTGAATTATTAATGGAAGGAAATAAAATATTCTTCCTCTCTAAATGGGGTTTGACTCAAAAATAAAATTAAATTTGTATTTTCTTTGTAACTGAAGTGATTCACAAATCCATATTCAAACCTATGATTAGCCATCACCATAAAAACATAATAAAAGATTTACAACATAAAAAAAATAAATTATGATAAATTAAAAGAAAAATATGTTTATAATTTATGTTTTTAAAACTCAGGTATTAACTAAAAGATTTAATCTTTTCAATGTAAAGAATCATTTAAAATTTTCTTAATGAATTAAAATTTAAATTATAAATATCATTTTTGGATTTTCTAAAAGTATATAAAAACATTCCTTTGATTCTTAAAAGGATTATTACAGCATTCATATTTTTCAATTTATTCTCATATATTATAAGTAGTAAATAATAATTTTATTAATAATTTAATTGTTATTAATTTTTTGAATTAATATAATATATTCTTATTATTAGACAAAAAGAAGTATATTTATTAATTTTATATTGGTTTTGATGGTTGACTGATGGCAGATGAGTTTATTTAATGAATTTATATCCAAACCCATCTATCACTTCATTCCATTTACCAATCTTAATTCTTTCTTCATTATATGATAGATTACTACAAATATTTAATATCCAATCTAGTTCGATGTATCTATCTAATTTATTAGCGTTTTATCATTTTTATATTCACCCTAATGATTTACTTTCAAGAATTGAATAAATAAATCATTAAACTATATCCATCTTATCACCATTACCTACTTTATCATATGATTCACAACCTATATAAATTTTACTTTAAACAACACCTACCTTGACTGATTAATTGTCGTTCCCACATAAGTGACCTCCTATCTCCACTAAATCTCATCACTTGACTCATTTCGCTTCCCAATTTTATTACCATTACTTGCTTCATCATATAGCCAAAACCACTAAAAAATTATCAGATTAATGTATTTTTCGATTTAAAATGTTCCTTTCCTACTTCTCTATGTAAAATATCCCAAAAAGAAATTTCTTTTCCGTATCTATATACACTTATAAAAAATTTTGGAAATTATTCAAATCAATCATCGGCTTTTATCCATTTTCCATGTTTTCATCTTATTAATTATATAATCCACCACAACTTTTAATAATATATTGTAATATTCATTTTTTCATTCTCATCAGAGCACTTCCGATTTCCTTGCCTTTTATATTTAAAATATTCTTTAATTTCATATATGAAAGCTTTTTTGATTATTCATTAAATTACTTTACATCCAAAAATTATTTCAGATTTAGCTTTTCCATGTTACTATCCGTTTAACTACTTTATCCATACTTTACAATCAAATTTAAATACTTTATTTACTCTTCATTGATCAAGAATTCAGGCTTTTGAGATAAGTCTTTAATTATATCTGTATTCTTAACAATTTAACATTTACATTCTTAATAGAGAGCTATTCTAATAGTAAATAAATTCATTATTATTATAAAAATTTATTTTTAAGTTCCTAATTGTTTTGGCGGATTCCAAATAAAATCCCAAATAATTTCTTCAATTTCAAAACTATCTTACTACTTTTTTGTTTATACTTTCAAGTGGCATTTATTGCATTCAAAAAAAATTTGATTATTTTAAATGAAATATAACTTTTGATTTTTTTAATTGATAAAAAGAGGGAGATTTAAAGTAGGATTTTTTTGTTTAATCATTAAGATACGATTCTATTTTTTAAATATTTTAGATTTTATAACTTTATCATTATTTATCCTTTAACCTTGATCGATAACTTGTTAAATATATCAAAAAGAAAATTGAATAAGTCATTAAAATTATTATTTTTAACTATTCTTTGTACTCTATATTTGATATATTTCCAAGTCATCAATTTTTGAATGAAGATTGTTTCATCTTTATATAATATTGGCATCTTTTTTCACACACCATTGCATATCAGTTTATAACTTAAAATTTTTTTCCAAAACTGTTAATAAAACCTGATTATTCTTTATAAGATGATTTTTAGAAAAAATTATGAATTTTAAGTCAATAAGTTCTAACCATTTTATATAGGATTCTACGTAAATATTGTTTGAAATTAATCTATTTCCAAAATTTTAAGATATACTTTATCTGATGGAACCTAAGAAATTTAATGAAAGTGGAATATAAGGTCTGCTATTTTTTAAGTGATTCGCTAGCTATGAAACTATTCCTTATGTTTGAATCATTCATAATAAAGAGTTTATTAATTTTTTAAGAATATCTCTGATTTGTTTCGTATTATTCAATTTTTCAATAAATTATATTTAATTGATTGATTGGATATTAAATTGATTAATTTTTTTTCTGGATTGTATTATTTATTAATTTCACTGTATCTAATTAATTTTCTATTTTATATCTTGGTAAATAAAATTTAAATGATTGGTTTGAATATCTAATTTATGAAAGTAATTAGTAAATGACCAAAAAAGAAGGATAAGTTAAGTCTATCTTTTGAGTTGACGCCTTAATAACCTATAAGTTTGTATTTTACTATAACAGTGAAGAAAAAAAAAGAGAGAAAAGAAATTTAAATAAATTAAGTTTTAGATTTTTAATAACAAGAAAATAAAATATAAATTTGATGATTTTCTGAATAATTAAAATTATCAAGATTTAAGTTCAAAGAATTTGTTAAATTAATTTGTATTTTAAACTTTTATTGGCATAATCTCAATGATTCAGATAAATCCATCAATCTTTGATTTTATTTTTAATTAAGAAACATGATTTTATATTGGAATATACATCTAAGGTTTTGTAATTAAAAAAGGATTATTTGAAAAGTAGATATTCTTTATTGGAAAATTATAACTATATATTATGATAATGATCTGATTTCAACTTTTAGTCAATTTAAAAATAATTAAAATGAAGATAAGAATCTGTAATGTTGAAAAAAATGAAAATAGATGGAAAAATTCCAGCGACATATGAAGGTATACAATATTCTGGCAATAATTATTAATTTAAAATAAGAGGACTAACTATAATTCTTGAAAATAATTCAGTTTAAAATACAAAATTAGCTTAAAAAATTTACTCTTTTAGTGGATCTATCTTTAATCTAAAAAAATTATTTTTAGATACATATTCTCATTCAATTATTCTTTATATATATATGTATATTCAAATATTAAATAAATTTTATTTCAAATGGATTAAAAATCGGCAAACCAATAAATGGAATCAAAATTGAAAGTATATAATTGCAAAAATGATTTTGAAATCTAAACCGAAGTAAATAGCTATTTATTATTAGAAATCCTTCAATCAAAATGATATTAATTCAATTTAATAATTTAGAAACCCTCTAAGTCACCTATGTAAAACTTACTATAATTTTAGCTTCACCAATAAATCTCAAAATTCCATACTAGAAAAGTTTTGAGTAAAATTTAAATTTTTAAGTTTAGCATTAGAATGTGGAATCTATCAAGTAACTATTAAAATAATATTGTAGAGTTCAAAAAATGGGATAAAAGGATTTTGATAATGAATAAAAAGAAAAAACTTAAGAGATATTAGGTTGGTTATGGGATATTGTGGAATGTAGATTTATCCCATCAATTTACTAAATCAAATTTACTCTAGATAACACAATGATTTACACCAAGGATGGTGAAACCTTAAGAATGTAACACTTTATTATCTTTTAATTTTAATAGTGAAAAACTAAAAGACACTTCAGTTAAACCAGAAGTCTTAGCAAACTTAGAATAAATTTGCCATCTTAAATGGTATGGTTAATACAGTTAGAAGGAATAAAAGATTGGAAGATGGTCAGTAAAGTGGAAGGGAGAAGATTTGAAAGAAGTAAATGCTTATTATACAGAAAATGGAAAAAAATAAGGCATATGGAAAGATCTTATTAGGGTATTATTTATTGATTAAGAGTGAAGCCGAAGCATATGAAATAGGCGAATATGTGGATGGTTAAAGGATGGGATATTGGAAAGAAATTTATAATGATAAAGAGATGAAGAAAATATTAATTATTAATAATTTATATTGGTGGAGGTGTTTATAATGAATAAGGTGAAAAGAATAATAAATGGATTGAGTTAAGTGAAGATTTTTGGGATTAGTCATAAGTAACTTTTTAAGGTGAATTTAAAAATGGGAAAAAAGTAGGGAAATGGTACATTTGGTATGAAGATATTGATATTTGGGGAAATAAAAATATTGTGATGTAAATAATTTAAAATAATTAATCCAATTAATTATGTTTGTCAAATTTTTAGTGATGGTGGATCATATGATGAAAAATGCGAGAGCCTTAAGATTGGGTTATGGATTGATTTAGCTAAGAGATTTCATTATCACAAATAAGTGACTTATCAAGGTCAATATAAAAACAGTAAAAATGTTGGTAGATGGGATATTTGGTTTAGGTAGTATGCTGAGAAAGAGTTTAAATAAATGTAAAATTATAATATTAAATTTGTGATTAATTATTCAAAAATATATAAGTGGGGGAGGATAATACGATGATAATGGTGATGGAATTAAGATTGGAAAGTGGATTGAATTGGATGATGAATTTTTTAGTTTGAAATAAGCAACTTATAATGGTGTCTATGAGAATGGTAACAAAGTTGGTAGATGGAATGTTGAATATAGATAATTTAGTAGTGAATTATTCTCATAAATGTAAAATTTTAATTATTGATGCGTAATTTTTAGTGGTGGTGGATAATATAACAGCCAAGGTCATGGTATTAAGACTGGGGAATGGATTGAATTAGATAAAGAATTTTATAAATATAAATAAATAATTTATATTGGGGAATACAAAAATGGTAAGAAGTTGGGTAGATGGGATATTCAATTTAGATAATTTTGCAGTGATTAATTTTCAATAATGAATAATTATTTTAAAATAGTACTTAATTAATTTTTTGTGCAAATGTATTAGTGGAGGTGGATCATATGATGAAAATGGCAATGAAATTAAAATAGGAAAGTGGATTGAATTGGATAATATGTTTTCTAATTTTAAATAAGTAACTTATAATGGTGAATATAAAAATGGTAAAAAAGATGGTAAATGGGAACAAATGAAAAGAGAATTATATAAAATTGATGAAGGATTCAAAAAAGTAACTGAAATGAACTGTTGTATTTGAAATTTAATTTTAATTATAAATGCATGTAATAATCAAATATTTTATCATTTTTATTATAAATATTATTATCAATAAATTAAAAGCATTATCCTTGAATTTTTATCGAAAATAGCATTAGAGGAAATTAAAGTGATTTTATATTTATATATGAACTGAATACGTAAATAATTATTTAAATTTATCTAAAGGAGATTTAATTTCAGAGAAAATACCGGAAAAAAAAGATGATATTAAATATCTAGTGAAAATAAATACCAAATACTAAAAATATTATGCTAGACTCTTCTAACTATAATGAATTTAGTTTATATATTTTCTGTCGATAGATCGAAAATATTATTATTTGAATATTTCTAAGAGATATATTAATGTTAAATCTTAGCATAAATGATTCTGTCATTAATAAGTAGAGCTAATGTCTTTTTTTTGGGGATTCCCAGATAACGCAAAAGGGTCGCCAAAACTGATTAACATTTAATTCATCATTAAATCTCCCTTTTTATAGAAGTAAAACTCATTTTATGACTGAAGCTTTTTAACTTGTTATCATAATGAATGATATATATTAAAGATACCTTCAAATAACCTAAAAATTTTGAATAATTAAAAGCAAAATTATAGAAAGAATAATCAAAATATGCATTTTTATTATTACACAATAAAATTTAAATTATTAAAATATTTATATTATTCATTTAATCTTAGATTAATTTTATTTCCTTTATTTAATTCACATTCAATGAGGTTAATCTGAATATTTAGATTCACTTCTATTGATAAAATTGCTTGTAATAGCTAATTATAAAATCTAATAAGAATTTGTAATTTTACTCTAGTTACCTATTAATATTTTTTCAACTAATATTTTAAGCAGCCATCATGATCATGAGAATTTTATTTGCATAAATTAATATTATCTATTCTATTTTTTTATCATTCCAAACGTCAAACAAATAACTTCACAATAATGAGTGATTTCGTTTAATTCATATCCCAATTTAGGTTCTAAGCATTATTAACTCATAAGAATGTTGCCTCCCAATTACAACCAAAATTTGGAATTCTTATAAAAAAGGATTTTATCTAAAAAATTGATCTAACCAATTTAGTAAAATATTCATTCACCCAAATTTCATGATCATTTATAATTCTATCTAACAAATAAACAACCAAATATTTTTATCAGGGAAATAAGAAAATAAGAATCCCTCGTATATTTAATTTTTTTACTTAATTCTAAATATTTTCAATTCAATTTGAAATAATTCAGCATTTCATTTTTATAGTGATAAAACTTCTTTACTAACACTTAAGTTGTATAAAAAGCAAACCTTAAACTAATTTATTTATAATCAAGTTGGAATAACACTAAAATTTTCATTCTTATATTTTTATTTAAAATTAAACATCAACTTATTACACATAAAGTTAAAGAATATAATAAAGAAACCAAAAATAAATTATCTAAATTTAATTTTGTTTAATTAGGATGTAATTTAATTTTTAATTTCAAATTTAGTTATTTTATAAATGTTTGCCATAATCTTCAATAAATTTCGCTTTTTTTATATAAAAATAATTAACCCTTTTTATAAGAAATTTCACGCTTTGATTATACATTAATTACGAAGATCTCTTTGAAAAAATTATTTTTAATGAAAATAATTCGGCTGCGTGAAGCCTGACGTAAGTTGAATAGAGACTGGGTTT